TGCTTGGCAGCTCGGGGAAAGTGTCGGGCCATTGAAAAACCTCTTCCAGTATGCCCTGTTTTTTTGCGCCCGATATTTAGGAAGAGGGAAAAGGTACCCAGGGGGTGCCCTCCCGTGCATGTAATGCTTCACTTACATCAGCAGCAAGCAGGTCGAATGCACATAATCTGACACTCATCTGACACAACCATCCTCACTCAAGTTCGTCCGATACATCTGCACCGCACGATGGCCCAATATAGGTCCGGCGCGCGATCCTGGACGTCCGTTTCTAAAGCAGCGGAAAATTCGCGTAAAGAGGAGGCATGAGACTGCGGACACCTGATTTAGCAAGGAAGAAGGTGCTCTTGACAGGCGCGACGCCACCATTTTGAATTCAAATTTTGAACGGATGCCTTCATCACCCAATAACATCTCGACTTGTAAGTTGGTACACGCAACGTTCACCCTTCGATCAAGGCGCCTGCAACATCTTAGCCGCTGGAAGCAGTGGTGCATGGTGCTTTGTCGTGTCAAAGTCAGCCGCCTCATCCTGTGCCTGCCTTTCCTGCCACCAGAGCAGTGAGACAAGTTGGATGGGTAGTTTTAGTAGGAATTTCTTTGGCCTCTGAATTTTAAGCAGCGCCAAGGACACTCTATGGGGCAGGTCTTCACCAGAGCGAATGGCCAGATTCATCCAAGTGATTCTGGAATCAGTGCATCTACAGAGAAGTTGCCTGCTGCGAGAGGTGCCAACAAGGGGGGCAACTTTGCTGAATATGGATGTCTGCGCCGTCTGCTTGCCTCACATTGTGGCAGCAGTGGTGCTGGGATGTCTCAATGTGTCCGGGGGCGTCTGAGTATGCCAAGCTGCAGTTTGGAGAGCTTACAAGATGGCCAAGGTGAGTTGTCTTGAAGAGGGTTTGACTTGTGAATTGTGATACCTTACAAGGTCAGTTACTAGATCAGATACTTGAGTAGCTTATGTGAGATCTTTTTCTCTTTTCATCGACTTTGATTTGATAGGCAGTTCTGCAATGGTTTCTTCTACCTTTTTCCATCTGGCCATTCCTTTCCTTATTTGTAACCATGTTGATTGCTGTCAGGTCCTTCTATAACGATCCTAGCAATGGCATTTTATTCTGGAAGTATCTGAAACCTCACCCAGTCAACGCACCTGATCAGTCAGGGTCCAAGCCAAGCTTGGTTCTGCAGTGGTTTCATGCTTTCGGTCAGATTACTTGATACTCAAAAGCATACTAAGCAGCCGTTCAAAACATACTGAACAGCAGACTTTCATGGGCCCTTGAAAGATGGACAGCAGAGTCTACCTTGATGGTTTTTCCCCAATGCCTGGCAAACTGAATATTGTAGCTCGCTTGTATTACTTCAATTGTGTGGCAGTCTCGCCTGGTTTAGTAAGCATCAAAAGGCCCAGCTGTTCAGTCTTCGGGCTACCCTCATATGCATCCGTGTTTGGAAACGCTAGGATTCTGTGTTGGAGAAAATGTAATCTTAGAGACTCTTAGAATCGCAGAAATGGCTGAATGGCGAAGGGCGTTGCTATCACATGGTACGAGAATGTTTACTGCTGGGTTGTGTTCTTCCAGAGGCTGCATGTATATGTGATTGTCTTGCAGCACTGCGCAGGGATCAGTCATGCGCAGGGGATCATCCAGACATTATGCAGGGGAAGGCACTGCACAGGTGATCATCCAAACATTATGCAGGGAAAGGCACTGCGCAGGGGATCATCCAGACTTTATGTAGGGGAAGTATGGATGGAATGTCATAACAAGTTCGACTTTCTATCCTTTCTTTTTTCCGTCCTTTCTTTCCTTCGGTCTTCCTTCCTTTCTTTGTCGGGGATCGCTCAATTACTGCAGCTCTGGTTGCTTGCCAGTGAAAGCTCTTTTGTCGTAGTTGCCATTCATCGAAGTCCCTCGTATGTGGATGTCGTGTCTGACAGGTATTTTTGCGGAGTAGTCAGCTCAGCTTGGCAGCTGGAATGTTGCAGCTGTATTGCCCGTCTGCAGAGTCGCAAGTTTGTGTCAGTTGAGCTGATCGCTCGCTGTTATGTTAGACCTGAGTTGGTAGTGTTGGCGATCGTTAAACCCGAGGAACTCCAGGCATGTTCGCAAATTGGGCTGTTCTGATCAAAGTGGAGCTGTCGCTCCAATCAAACCTCTGAAAGATTATGCTCTTGAAAGAAGAGGGGATGCTGGCGGTGATTGAAAAGGAAGTTGCAGCGGTAGGCCCAGTTAGCTTGGGGCTGGGAAGCATGACCGGCTTATACGGATCGCCTGGCCTTCTTGACAGAACTGTAGAACTTGTAACAAATTGTACCACCATCATAATTTGGCAGTGTTGCGTAGACTTGAACCGAAGATTGTTTGTTGCACCTGGCAGACCTGAGAGGATTACATGTAGGAAGGAAGAGGCTACAATAGGCCGGTCCAGAAGTGTACATTCAGGCGCGATCCGACTTGCCCCTTCGTTAATATGTACACAGTATGTATGGACAGCGGCAGTCCTCAAGTAATCAGTTAAGTCGAAAAGGTATGTCATCTTTCTGTCCAAGACAAGCCACGGAAGTGGGCACTAACATGTTTCATTGCATAGTCATGAATGAATGCATGACCAGACAATGGATGCATGCTCTCATTTCAATGCATCTTCTTGGCGCACTGCATGTATGCCGCCTTTAGAATCCGAGCCCAGCACGGGTCCCATTCTACTACCGGGCTCGCTGAAACGCCCGGTTCATTGGATTCGGACGCCCGGTAATAAAATTCGCGCCGTGTACCCGATTTTCGTTTCGGACACCGTCCGGGCTGGTTGTGGACATAGGGAATTCGCAGTCGGACTGTAAAACTTGGAGTCAATAATGACTCTGTCGTCATGCAACACACAATGAGCGAAGAACTACATGAGCGCGATAAGTCGCGGTAGCTCCAAACAGTGGAGCTACCGAGCTACCGCAAGTTACATATGACCGCGGTACGGTGCGGTAACTTCAAATTTTACCAGGCAGGTAGCTAGGTCGTAGTTACGTCCCGCTCCGGCGCATCAAAATCGATGCGGTGAGCGCGGTAGCTCGCGGTACGTTACGGGACTTGGCGAAAGTTTTTCATCGGAATCGGAGCTACCGTGACTTTAGTTTTTAGTACCGCGACCTACCGAGCTACCGCGCTTCTCCATGTAACTTTGCTCAGTATGGGAAATTGGGGCTTGTTACGAACCGCAGTGCTGTGCACAAAGAGCTCACCGGGCCGCCGTGAGACTCAGATGAACGTGGCCGGGCCAGCAAAATTACTTCAAACAAGCGAATAGTCTGCTTGCCAAAGCGGCTCGCCAACAGTGGCGGAGGCCTTGGAGTTGATTGGCCTTCAAGCAATCAAAACGTGCTAGTGCCCAGAGAAGCAGAGAGAGGCAAGCTCGGAAGTGAGCCACGGGTAAATGTCGAAATCTGCTCACAAGGAGCTTCCGAGGGTAAAAGTAGGAATCTGCTTACAAGGAGCAAAGTTTCGAGGGTATTAGTACATTGGAAAGAAGAGTTCACATTGGGTTTGGTAACGCGACCTACTGCGGTTTGTGGAGGTAGTCGAAGTTGGTTTAGGTGAAGAGATAGCATGTGGTGTTTCGTTTCGTAGAAGTGTGTTCGGAGGCAAATTATTTAGGTGACCGATGACACTTGACACTGTACTTTAGTGGTTCGTCCGCCGGCTGTATTGCCCGTTTGTTGTTATATCGAATGTCCTCCCCATGTATTGTTGCGATGAAGAATATATTATGGGGTTAAGAATTACTCGTTTCGGAGCAGTTAATATGCTAAAGGTTACTCGCTCAAGTTTCAATCTCGGTCAACGCGATCAACCCGGTAAGGGTTCCGCAAATAGGATCACGATTGACGAATAAAAATGCCTTACCGTTTTAGTCTAAACATGTCATGTCAATAAGAGAGGCAATAAGATGGTGTTCACTTAACATTTTGCCCGGCCGGGGCACAAACAACCCAAAAACCTAACCTAACAAGATTACGCGCTCTGCACATGCCCAATCTGAACCCTACTGTCCCCGGGACATGCGCCTAAGTGACAGCCCAACACGGCGGGAACACGGCTCTAAATGAAGACGAAGGCGCTAAATTGTCGGTGCTCGGTGGCAGGCTGCAGCGGATCTTGACGGCGGCGGCCATGGTGTTAAATTTAGGGCCCGTCACTTTGAAGTGGCGCACCCGGTCGCGCACCCCCTTATATATTCTGTTTGTAGGGGGTGTGCTTCAGCCAACCGAAAGTAGGGGAGGGGTCGGGGGGCTTGGCGGCCTTTCACTTGCAGGGCGCAGCCCCAGCCGGATCTTAGGCTACGCGAATTTGAGATGGAAGTTTCCGGTCCACCCCCTTCGGTGTCCTAGTCCTTTTTTTATCAACACCATGCAACCCATCCGCAATGGCAGCGCTTGTGTAATCAAAAAACTAGCTCGGAGATGTATTGCGTTAAGCTCGGCGTTGCATGCTCGACCAATCATGCAGATCAATGGGTGGTTCCTTAATCAGGCGACGGTATGTCACTAAAAGCCCGGCCGGGCCCCCAAAAGAAAATGAAAAACTCGAAGGTTAAACGCAAAATCGTATTACATGAAACATATATGGCAACGTTCGAGTTTCTTTCACTTACTTGCAAGCATGCAATTATTTCATCGTGTGCATGGCGTATTCATCGCACACACGTAACTCATCGGCTATACCAAACGGGCAGACCGTGACAATCATGCATGCATGCGCCATGTTTGGAGAGTGATTTCAGACTCGAAGCTAAGTCCCTGCCTGGCTTCATGGGTGCAAGACTGCGTAGGTAGAGTACAGCTCACACATGGTGATTTGGAGTGGCTGTTACAACAAATGAAGACACAAAGCTTCAGGCAATCCACGTAGCTTTCTAGCGCCTTGCACTTGAAGCCGGCCTTCAGCAAGCATGTTGAGCATGAATGCGACGTGCAAAGTGTTTATGCATTTGATGACGCTGGGGTTGCTTCGGAAGGCCCCGATCCCGGCAAATTTATGCACTTGAATACTTGTGTCCAGAGGCCGCTCAGCTGCCAGACCTTTCCACGTGACTTGCCAGATTACATGCACCTTCTCGATATCAACAATAGCGACATGCTCTGCATATCGAATCCCTCCGGTGCATTGCTCCCCGTTACTCGGCACCTCTTGTCAAACCTCAGTGGCAAATCCGATGACAGGTTTCATGATACAAACTTTCCGACGTCAAAGCCGGCTCAAGCTGCCCCCATCAGCAGAGCAGGAAGATTCCTATGGTTGATGATTGGCGGTCACTTCTCTTCGCTATGACTAGACAACTTCCGTGATGAGGTCCGGCATGGCCCGGTGCTCCTTGTCTAGTTCGTCGTCCGCGTCGAACTTGCGCCAGTACTTGTTGGCCTCCCACTCCATCACCTGGTTCAGCGAAAACGTCTCCGAGAAGCCGTCCAGTACCTGCTGCGGCAGGTTGTTGATCTGCGCCAACCAGAGAGCGACAGGTGTCAGAGCCTGGCGCTTGATAGAGAGCCAGTACCTGCGGCCTCGATTCGCTGCAAGTTCTGCGCTCTGGCAATGTTCTCGGCCCTGGTAGCAGGCCCTGCGTTGAATCCAACCGGAAGGCCTGATGACTATCAGTTATGCTCAGCAAGGGTGTCACCGCCTAGAAACGCTCAGAGATGGCCGAAGACCAAAAAGCAGAAAACACTTTCTTGCACAGGCGTCGTTCTTCAACCTTGCACAATCGACAGGAATGATACAACAAACCTTCGACAGCAGCAAAATCAGGTTCGCTATTCGTCGCAAAACACCAAGTACACGGCCAAACGCTGAAATCCCGAGTCCTTTCAAAAAATGGGTATAGGAGGGTTTTACAACAGCGGTCAGACGGAGCAGACGGTCAAAGGCACCGACCTGGTGCGGCCGTGGCGCGCCGAAGGTGACATAACCGCTGTTCCCCGGTTGGAAGGTGGCCCGCCCAGGCAGGGATAAACCGTGGATGCCCCACCGGTTGCACAGCATGAGCGCCTCGTACTCATTCACTGGAAGGACGTCCGGTTGAGGGATACGTGGGCACCGCTCGAAGATTTCCTGCAAGGGAGAAATTGAGGTTACCTCCTTTGAGCACAACTGGGTCTGTACTTGCTTTACCGTTTACCTTCGACAAGTGAGCAAGGAACACGTGCCCTGGAAAGCTTGATGAGGAAGGAAGACGAGTCATACAGCTCTGATCGGCCTTATCCGCTTTATTATCCATTCATGCCTGGGCACTCCACGCTTCGCTGACGCTTTGTTTGCCAAAGCAGACAACTCTGGATATCTTACTCTACTTCCTGTATCTGAGAACACGAGTCAGAACCGGTCCCTCCACTGAGCGCTCAATCGCTTTGACCCCGAGGGTCCAAGCGACCGATTCTAGCTTATTGGATAAGCTGGCGACCAACTTTGAGACTTTTCATTTGCATGTAAGAGTCTTCAGAACGATACGCCATCGTGTCACACTCAAGTCCGGCAGAGTTCTCTAACATGAGACGTGCAGAAACGATTGACAGCTGCGTCTGCGACTACGATGACGTGTCTGAAAAGAATTAGTAGGCAGCTAGACGAAGAAAGCAGAGACAACGGTCCAGCTTCACGTGCAAGCTTTTTTGTTTGCGCGGCGCCGATCTCACCCTGCTCAACGGGACCTTACGTGCAGCACCTGTGGGACTCTGATCATCATACGACGACCCCGGATCCAAGAAAGACGCCTAAACAGTTGAGAGGAACAATCCAGGATAGCCCAACTTTGCGGTGCGCAATTGCATTACTTGCCGCGTCAATCTCCCCTTTAGACTCAAATTCTTCGGTACTTTTGAGTGACGGAGGACGACACAGAATCCAATTCAAATGTCAAGAAAGAAAATCAAGAAGAAGAAACATGCGGACAAATTCCAGCTTTGCGGCGCGCACCTGCACTTGTGCCGCGTCGATCTCCTCGTGCTCCAGCAGGTGCTTGGCGAACGCCTCAAGCGCGGGCCGGCACTCGCGCACGATCATGCGGCTCATCTCGGACGCGTACCGGATGTACTCGCGGACGAGCGCGTGGATCTTGGGGCGGACCTGCGGACAGCGGACGAGGACGAACTGTGAAGAATTGTAAGCTTCGGACGCTTGCATCATCAGATTTCTGCTCCGCATACGGGATGTACTCGGACACGAGCGCGTGGATCTTGGGCCGGACCGTCAGGAGCCGTATGTTTAGACGCTTCCACTGTCAGAATCTCACTCTACTTTCCTAGGGTTTGAGGATTTCAGGAAGCCTCCGCTGTCAGAATCTTGCTCTACTTTCCTAGGGTTTGAGGATTTCAGGAAGCCTCCGCTGTCAGAATCTTGCTCCACATTTTCGTAGGCTTGGGGCTTCTAGGGCGCCTAAAGCTCCAGAAACGAAGACATGGTATCCGGAAACCCTGAATGAAACGCCTCGTTTGGCGACACAGCTATCGCCCGCTCCTGCCAACAGTGGAATATGGCAAACAAAGCGGGATATTTTGCCAATCAACCATGAATACTACGGTTTATCTTGATAGAGGGGCCGGGGGCTCACACTTTCAAAGACCTCGTCCCGCATGGAGCAGAACATGCAGCAGTGAAGACGGTAAGCCTCAAGCTCTCTTTCGCCCACGGCGCCCAAATCAGAACTGGCGGCATTAGAAAACAATTTGGAATTTGGAAATTGGTTTTCAGGCTCACGCTTTCGAGGACTTCATCCCGCGTGAAGAAGGTGTGCGGGCCGAGCGCGGTCCAGCCCGTTTCGCGCACCATGCGGTCCGCCATCTGGTTGGCCACCGTCATGTGCACCTGCGCCGGGTACGTGATCTGGTCGCGCCCAAACACCAGCTCCTCCGCGGCGCGGTCTGCAAGCACAGGAATTTATTGATGCAGTCAGGATCTATTAAGACAATCTCAAGTCGCTAGAAATGGAGCTTTGGGTTTTGTGGATAAATCTTGGTTGGCCACCATCGTGTGCACCCGTGCCTCAACGAAATTTAGACACGCAGCTCCTCCGCTGCGCGGTCTGCAGGCATGATTAATACTTTTCGGGGTCAACTTCCGCAATACTTATATTGTCGGTATTCGATGAGATCGAAAAGTTGATGGGTACATCCAAGGCGCTTCAGCGACGGAGCAGTCAGCGCTGTCCCTTTTGCAAGGGAGGCGCTGGGGGAATAAGGAAGAGGGATTTCACGATGGCAGCTGAAGGATGAGAAGATCAGGCAGGCTTCGGCACGAACGTTGAGGGCAAGTCTTCACTTGTTGTTGGTCATCGTCTTGATGCTTGAACGCACTGCTTTGTACCCCAGCTTTCGAGTGTCAAGAGCACCCAAGCAACTAAACAAGGATCCCTTTAAAAGTTTGTAATGCAGAGGGGCAAGTGCTTACTAACAGGTGAAAAGCTAAGTCAATATGAGGACAATCTCAAGCCAAAGAGTTTGAAGGAAAGTGAAAGAGCGTGAAAAACCAGCGGCCTTCAGAAGGAAGGGCGACTTCAACAAATATTTTGGCTCAGGGTGTCACATATCTCTGGAGCCGCTTTGGCACCACGTGGTAAAACCTCCTTGCCACTAAGGTTTTCAAGGGCAATAGGGAACACGATACTAGCAGGTTCAAGCGCAAACGGTTGTCCGGCACCAGAGAAGTGCAGTCTGCACTTTGACAAGCAACGGCACAAAGTTTTGTTGTGCGGTCCACCAAGGCAATGCCCACATGGACGGCTTATTGGGAAAATCTGAGCCCAAGAAAGAAATGGGCGAAAAAAGCGAGTAGGATTACAGGCTTCAACCAAGGGTCGTGTGCAGACCCAGCTTCGTATACTTTACGGGGCAGAATGTTGAGCGGTGTGTCCTCGCAGTTTCGAGCATTCGAAGTTGACGAGTGAAATGACAGTGAACATTCGCAGATCGGGGTTGAACTGCAATCAAGGCTCTGAAATTGACTCTCTTTCCACTTAAGTGACTGCAACATCCAGGAACAACAGTGATATGGATTACTACTACGGCAATATGTTCAAAGTAATCCCAGATCAACGTGCTGCTATGTAGTGACGAAGGCGGCGTGCGAACCTGCCAAAGCAACCGGTTCTTTGCAAACAGGCCAACGAGTGAAAAGCCGCTTGAAGGAGCATTGACATCGGGCATGGGTGAGTGGATATGGGCAGGTGGCTCAGAGCGGCTACATAACGTCCTTGGCTCAATTTTGACATTGCGCCATGACCTCAAAAGCACGCTCTTCAGTCCTTGCCACTGCACGAATAAGTGCACCCGAGCTATTCCCTTCGCCCATCTCCAACGCGCACTACATCTGCTTTTGCACGGAGATCTGGGAGGCATACGTCTGTAGGTTGACTCAACGCAGGCTATCCGAAAACAGACCGAGTCCAAGAGGACAATAAACGCTGAGCACTGGGGAACGAACTCCGCCCCCAGCGGAATTGGGAGAACGAGAAGCATGGCCTTCAAGGCTGCCAAGGAAAATAAAGCAATGATGCAGAAGTGACAAGTTGCAAGCAGCAGCAAGTATTATAAGGTGGCGAAAAGCGTCAATATAAGACCGTTGCAGCCTCAAGGGGACGAAAAGCAAAGCTCGGCTGAAGGTCTGGCAATCTATAATTGCTCAGAAGTATCAGTTGCAAAGCTGTGCATGTCCGGACCGGCTCAGGCACTGTGGACGATGAGCCATGGCGCTGTATAGGTTAGCGCCATGTGGCTAAACCTCCTTGCCACTTATGAGAGTCTTTTACTGGATAAGGCATCGTTGATAGCACGCCGCTTGACTCAGATAAACAAACTGTTCGTGAGCTGCGGACTAAGCCGCACAACAAAGCTAACAGAATATGAGAGCAGCAATTGCTCTCCCCATAACTGCCCACTATAGGCTGCGAAACGCGGCAACGGTTGATGCCTTTTATGTCAGGCAAGGGAGAGAATATATATGCCTGAAAAGTTGGCTCGGAGACCATTGTTGATAGGCGTGGTATTTAGAGCACCAGCAAACCATCCTCACAGCGGTTCACTCTGCACTAGAACAGTAGGGCGCTGTACAAGAGAGGACTGAGTTTGCGAAGCGAACTTCAAATACTGCGCGGACTTGTGCAACATTCACGTGTGCTTTCTTTCTGCCACTTGACAGAATGACACGTGTCCCCTATTCGGAGCACAAAAGTACTGCGCAGCTTGGTTTTCAGGAGCTGGGAAAAGAAAACGCGCCGTGCGGGCACCCGTGAATGGTTCGAGCCCAGACTTTTCGTCTGGCGAAAGGACTGAAACGTTCTTACACCAGCAAGGTTAAATAAACGATGGTCAGATACAGAGGGGCGCACATGCAGAAGGTACGGTTGGCTTCAGACTGGCCATCCACTCAGCTGTTGCGCTGACGCCAGGAGTCCTCTTAGCCATCCAGAGTAGTAACAGGGAACTTGAAACGCCTTCGCCAGCTTTTCGTCTTCGACAAGATCAACGGCACAAAGCATGTCTGTCGTGCAAGTGCTTCGCTTCCAACTCTGATTAAATCTTAACAAAGTTGTAGTTGCCAGCACGTGGGGTAGACCTTAGGGCTTGCAGCTGCGGGCCATAATAGTGCCGAATGTTTTCGACTTGCGAGCGACCTAAGTGCAACTCCACAAGAAACTAGGATGCGATTCAGTCGGTTTAAGTATCAAACCAGAACGCAGCAACAAACGCTTCAATTCGGGTCCGTTGACGAGTGCGACTGCGCCGTGCCCAACCTCTTCGCTGTAGCGATCAGAAAGCCCAATCGCGACTGTCAACACGTCGAGAAGGGTAATCCATCTTTCCTTATCCAGATGTAATGTCTCATGCCAACTGGAGACTGAAGTGACAACAGTGAACGAGCAGACACTCGTCCCAAATCAACTGCACAAGGTTCTTCGAAAGGGCACAGAAAAGCAGATTGACGAAGTAACTGAAGTACGTTTGGTGCGCGCTTGACTAAGATATGGTCATGCGCAGTTTGAATGGTCAAAATTATATGACGCCGTAAGGATGTCTTCAAAATAAACCCTGCGGCTCAACTTGTCTTCATGACGGCGTTACACATTGGCGCCATCAAAAGCACCAAGCCCATGGTTCCTTGCCAGCATTTCAGCCCGGCTCTAATCATCACAATTTCTCAGCAAGACATAGCCACACGTTCTCCGCATTCTGAACCACCAAAAGGGGTTCAACAAAACCAATCCACAAGAGAACGCGTCGCTTCTCGTAACGTAACTCCGAAAGCAAAAGCAACACACAATCTTCTGACCCGTCGATCCTTTCCCCTTCGTCTCCACGATGAAGTAAACGATAGAAAAGAAGCACAACTCAAAGACGCCCTCCATATTTATACTTGAATCAACATCGAGAAGAAGCAGAGACTAAAAATGCAGAAAGCAACAGTCCAGACAAGAAAGAACAATCTTTCCAACAAAAACAAGTATTCACTTACATATGTAGCCCCGGGTGATCAAGTCGATGTACGTCTGCTTCGTCTGCAGCCGCGCGAGCTTCCCGAACGCGGCCGCCGACTTTTGCCACCGGCCGTCTCGCGTGCCGTCGATCATGAACCTGCGCCAGCTGTACTCCAAATCTAGCTTCACGTTCACCTCCGGGCCGCGCAGTTTGATGTCCGTCTGCATGCAAAATGCAGCGGTTAGGCTACCAGCGTCGAAGCTATGGGATCCTTGTGCTTTACACTTTGAACGGCACAGCTACAGTCCGTCTTCGCGTTCACCTCCGGGCCCCGCAACTTGATGTCCGTCTGTGAAAAGAGTACTCTGTTAGTCGTCTCAAGTACAAGGTGAATTTTGTGGAAAGAGTGAGTAATGGTCCTCTGGGCCGCGCAGCTTGATGTCCGTCTGTAGGCAGAGTTCAGCGGTTAGGCTGACAGCGTCAAAGATCTAGGATCCTTGTGTTTTAACCTTCGAACGGCACAGCTTCATGACCGTCTTCACGTTCACCTCCGGGCCGCGAAGCTTGATGTCCGTTTGTTAGAGGAGTACTTTGTTAGTAGTCTGACATATAGGATAAACTTTGTGGAAGAGTGGGTTGTAACCCTCTGGGCCGTGCAGCTTGATGTCCAAACGACAATAGCGGATCATCTTTTAGTATTTGACATACAGGGGATGGTGACTTCAAGTCAGTGACTTCTGTCCTTTGAGCCGCGCCGCTCGAGTCCGTCTGTAAAAGACCTCCTGTCAGTGATCGACAGATTGGGTAGGATGATATTGTAGTGTCTTCAAATCTTTGGGCCGTGCAGCTTGCTGTCAGTCTGCCAGGAGGGTCTTCGTTCGGCTGCTAAATTTTGAGGGCGCAGGTTTAAGGGTTTCGGAGTTAGTCTCTCGGAACTTGGAAATGTAAAGGAAGCCGGCTACCAGTCCTCCTCGACATATGGTCGCCTGCAAGAAGCATCCCGACTGTTTCAGACAGCATCCATGTCGTTCTGACGTGTTGCGATGTAATTGACGGGGCAGGCCCTAATGAGCACTCCAGCCTAACCAAAGTATATGGAGCCCTGCGTTCATTTCTCACCGCTAATCTCTTGCAAAAATCATCTCACTTTTCCACACTTAGCCACCCCAACGCCCCCCTATGAGTCAAGGTGGAACTGACTTTCGATACAATCAGCCAATAAATAGACAAAAACCGCTCCTCATAAAGTGGCAAACGTGTACACAGTTCCTCGAAAACCAGGCAGCGCTCCTGGATGGTTTCACTCAAAAGGCACATTGCAAACACGCCTTTCAGGCGTCACTATCATGACAATTTACAGTGCTCATCGTACTGACCTTAAGGAAGGGCGCTTGGTAGCTGGGGATGTACGCATATGCCAGGCACTGAGACGCCTCACGGTACACCACCCGCAACTTCTTGTCGCCCGATATGTCCTCAAACACTGCCAACGGCGGCTGCTCCGATGACTGCAGCCGAACAATAAGCAATGGCTTAGGGTGGTCTGGAGTGAACCCTCTTGAGTTCATTTGAGAAGTCGATATATGGCAGATCTCAAAGATTAATGGCAGTGATGCAATATAATGAAGCCTCTTCGTCTCGAGAGAAATATTTGTGTGGATGTATAGCAGTAATGATCCTGAGCACTTGCTCTCGGCTCAGCAATTCGTTAAAGGGGGAAACTTTGGAGTTGCAAACAACACTTACTCCTAGCAATGATCACCATATAAGCTTCCCAACGGAGTGTGGAGTGCACACAGCCACAATCTCACAAGATCACACAAGCGCGCATCCTCGCAGGCCAGATTCGATGGCCATGGGGCCCTCCGGTGCTCGAACAGCTCAACCAGACTTGAAAAAGAGGATTGATTAGCAACAAAACACTGACCTTCCCAAAAGCTTCCCTGACGTCCTCATATGTGATGAAGTCGTGGTCATACTTGACCGAGATCATTGACGCTTGCTCCCTGCAGAGACAATCATCATCCACCTTTCAGCGCTGCTTCCGAAACGTGCGTGCAAAACGATTCAGGGACGCTTATCAGAATCTAGTAGCAACCGTTTTCCCATTTTGTGTTCACTCTAGGTTGATATGTAGAGCAAGCGGTCGAGTTAAGGGCCTCAAGAAGAAGAATGAAGCACCGGGTATGCATACCAAAGCTCTGCTCGGGTCTTTGCGTTTCTCGAGCTACAGTTGGGCAATCAGAACCGCACGTTCACGCAAATTGCACTTATCAGACACATGCCGGGGGAAACCCTTCTGGTTGAAATAAAATTCAAGGGGGTTCACAGCTGGAATTGGGACCGAGACAAATAGAATGTTTTGACCACCCAGAGACGAAAATGCGGATGAGAGATTGCACACGCTTCTAGGACCTGACAAGATGGGTCCGAATGTTGACCTTCGCCAATCTCGTCTAGCCTCTCTCGAAGTTTGCCTGACGCAATATGCTCTCAAACTCAAAGGCGAAAGGGGAACACTTGGAGACACGCGGCGAACATAGTAAGAGGAATGGGAATGGACAGGAGCAAGGCGGAGAGTGGGGCTCACAGAATGTTCCGCAGGTTGGCCCCCGAGTAGTTGGCGCACCGCGACGAGAGCATCCGCAGAATGGCATCCCTTTCCTCGTCGTTCTTGAACTTCTTCTTTCTCGCGTGGTGCTGCAAATCCAGAGCGTTGCGAATGTGAACCCAATGCAGCGATTTGTTTCAAACGGAAATACCGTCATCAGATTTCAAAAGAATCCGAGTGCTTCTCAGAGGGTAATGCTTCTCAAAGGCTCCAGACGCTGCCGAACTGAGAAGTTGTCGTGCAACTCGAAGAGCTTGTCGCGACAGCCAGATGCTTATGCAGCTAATCTGACCGCTACAACCTTAAGAGCGGCGCAAGAATCTTAGGGCTTTATCTTCTCGGGATACTTTCTTTTTCTCTTTCTCTTTGTTGAAGTACCGCTGCCTTAACAATCCTCAACCTTCTACAAGCTTCTTAGGCTTCAGGCGTTCACCTTTACCTGTACGAACCTTGACCGTCACGACCTTCTTAACCGTTGAACAAGCTTCTTAACCTCACGCTTCTTAACCTCATCAGGTCGAAAACCTCAACTGTAAAATCTGGAGGCGCGCCGCCCGCCCTGGGAGGCCCACCCGGTAGTGCTTGTCCATGCGCTTCCCGCGGAACACTTATGACACTTTTGACTATATCTAACGAGCTTCATAACCTCGTTATTCAGGTGATGAGCTACTTAACCCCGTCAGGCTTAATCTCTCACCTGCAGGATCTGGAAGCGCGCCGCCCGTCCCGGCAGGCCCACCCGGTAGTGCTTGTCCATGCGCCCCCCCCGCAGCAGCGCGGGGTCCAGGATGTCCAACCGGTTGGTCGCCCCGATCAGCATCACCTGCTCCTTGTGCACCAGGAAACCGTCCAGTTCTACCAGTAGCTGAACCAGGGCGGCCTCCCGTTCGCTTCCACCCTGCAAAGTGGCGGTAAAATCCTCTCAGAAAGTCGTTTGATGGTAAAAACGGTTTCCAATTTGGCTCCTTCTTTTGTGTGATGCCCTCGGTTAGAGTGACTAGCCACCGATCCAAAGCAGCCTCTTGGTCGCTCCCGCCTCGTATGTGGCAGACAAATATATGAAGACTTCCAACGGGCCTCCGCGAGTCAACTTGATAGACCTCAGTCAACTTTTGAGAGAAGAGCGGGTCTACAGAGACCTAAGTCCTAAATTCCTCTTCCAAATGAATCGGTAGCTGGACCAAAAAGGGCATTCATTTCGAACAATAGGCGCAGTGCCGCACTTCAGCGAGGTCAAGGTCAGCAAAACTTGCAATCACAGCGACTCGCAGACGACTTCCTTGTCGCCTTTCTTCGAGACGGGGTAAGCTAGGTATTAAAATGCATTTTAAGGTAAGATGTTTCTGGATCGAAACCAATCCTGAACCTTCTGCAGGGCTTGGATCAGACGTTGACACCGTCTGAAGCAACTCGATTACGGTTCACGCAATGGATATGTCAAAGATACGAAGCACACGTGGACGCACGGCAAGCTCTCTTGAGAGGCGGCTTCGAAGCAGAGCATCACTGAGAGCCCCAGGTCTCATTACTGAAACGATATTTTACAGAGAACCCATCGGGACTGAGTCCTGATACTTGACATCAAAGGGTTCATGCTTGAGATGAGTCGACTTGAAAGAGGGGACGAGGGGCTCACTCTCGATGTTCGTTGCGACCCAATCGCGTCGATCTCGTCGATGAAAATGATGCAGGGGGCGAACTTCCGAGCCTTGGCAAACAGGTTGGCGATCCGGCTGGCCGCAACTCCGGCAAACATCTGCAAGCAGAGCACCGATTGAGGAGCTTACTTGTCGAATCTAACCGAAGTCTCCCTGCAAATCAAACACCCGGTCGAGGCAAACCCTTGAATGTGAGGAGCTTGGTTGAGAAGTCCAAATAGCGTCTCATTCACAAACACATGAAGGTTCAAAGCAAGCCCACGTTTCATGAGGAGCTCGCTCGATCACTCCAATTAGTGCCTCATCCCCAAAGAAGTTTGAGGAAGGTACAAAGCAAGCCCTTTCCAGAAGTCCACCGTCTCAGCAAACCCACTTCGAGCAATCCTTGGCACTGCCCCTCAAGCGAAGTTGAACCCTTCCGACCACTATTTCATGAATGCGTCTACCTACTTGCCCACGGGGTTGCAGCGCAGAATTTTAGTGTCCCGCTTGAGTCTGACTAGAGAACGAGACTCTCACCTCTACAAACTCGGACCCGTTGGTAGCAATGAATGGAATGCCGGCCTCGCCAGCCAACGCCTTGGCCAGCATCGTCTTGCCCGTTCCAGGAGGCCCGTGCAACAGGATACCCTGGGAAAAAACGGCGAACACGTCAGCAGTCAACAGCAGTGTCAGCCACCGAATTTTGGAGGCTGTCCAGCAAGGTTGGATTTTCTGCTACGCAACAGCTTCCTGCGCAAAAGTTGGCGCCAGACTTCCACAGCTCAACTCCAGTACGCGATCTGAAGCTGCCCTACGTGCCGGAAGCGTCCATGTCTAACCTTAAAAACACAGGTGGTGATGTTCAGGCGCATAAAAGTGATCAGAGAGAGATAAGTCCTACCTTGGGCAGCGCAAACTTGGCTTCCCGGAAGCGCGCCCCCTCCTCGTCGTCGCGCATGATGCGGACGAACGTCATCAGCTCCTCCTTGAGCGCGGTCAGCCCCTGGACGTCCGAAAACTTGACGCCCGTGTCGCTGTAAGCCTGAATGACTCGGCCCCTGCAAATGCAGTATCAAGAGGAGTTGAAAAGCAGGTCCTTGAACAGCTCTAGGGCTCACTTCGTCCTTGCTGCTTCTGACTAGGTCCGCGAGAGCCGAGAGACGAGAGCCAATTGACGCTTCAGCAGCAGCCCTGTGAGCCTAGTTACCGGACCCTGTACTTCGACATATTGAGAGGGGCTGAGAGCAACAATATGGTGACAGACTGGGAGGTAGACTTGAATCGAGGAAATCGAGAAAAAGCTTTCCGAACACTCCAAGGCGGGCAACTCTGTCCAGTCACCCGGTGAGTAACATACGGCTGCGGAACAAAAAATGGATGCACTGATTCCGGAAGGTAGCAGCTACACGTGTGGCGACAAATGAATCAAAGTTGTGAACAAACGACAGCAGCGGAGCATGGCACTATGCATCGGAGTGAATTGAGGCCCCACCAAATCTGATTTGACAGAAACAATTTTCCGCACCAAAGTAGCTGCTTGCCTGTACGACTTTTCCTGCGGTTTTTCTCATCGACGACCTATGCAAGTAGGTCAGTCAACGGAAGACGCAGAACCCAACACTAAAATCTCGTATCCTTGTTAGACCAGTACCAGCATCTTGACATCAAATGCCTCGAAAGTGCAACAGGTGCAGCACAGGAAATGAAAGCCCGTCTTCTTACTTTGCACCCCCCAACGCATCTGCAATGGTATTTTCCACGTTGTCCTTCTCGGTCATCACTGTGAAAATCGACGCAGCCTGCGCCCGCAGCTTCTCGATGTCCTCCGCCCACTGCTTCTGGATCCTGGACGAGGAAAATACGCCTTTGTAAGCTTCGGTAGATTTCCGACGGCTGCGACTGGAAGCGGGACTGTTCAATTCTCTCCAAAAACCCATGATTCTCGCGTTGATTTGACCCAGGACTGCCATTCCTCAAAGAGTGCTTCTGACACCGTTGCCAGAACTGGCGAGAAAATCACGTTTTTCAAGAACTGGTTCTTACAGCGATACGCTCTCTTCCAACCCGCTCCAACCTCTGGGAGTCGTTTGATACGGAACCAGGCGTATTTTGGCTGAGAGTAGACAGGTATGATTCGCGCCCTCACTGAGCCACTATAGGCCCCGTCCATCCCAAAGCATCTATTGTCAAGGAAGTGCAAATATAGCTGGGCGCTGTTTCGATTAAAAACGAAGAAACATGATCTGCGAACTTACTCTGCCACCAGGGGCCCTGCTCGCCGGGGGTCCTTCCTCCACTTTTCGTACTGCCGCTCCCAGTACCGCTTCTGCGCTGCCGAGTCGTCCTGCTTCGCGAAGTAGCGCTCCCAGAGCTCGTCCCTCTTTTTCTGAAAGCCGAAGGGAATATGAGTCATTCGCAGTTCTGGATCAGAATGTTCCTTCTCAGCAAAGTTGGCACTGGAACAGAGCCCATCCCTGTCTAAAGCAACCCCATAAACGTCTCTTGAAACGCTCTACCGGCAACCAGAGTCGCAACATTGAAGCATTAGAACACAAAAGCTGCAATCTATAGTCTGAATCGGAGTTGCGCCCAAAACCACGTCCAGGCAGGCCTGGCTCGACAGAAGTGACCAGCCCCCGAAGCCAGGACACTGATTAGGCAGATCGAAGTGATTGACCCACTACGGAATTCTTAAGCAGAACCCTCGCTAACGAGTCATCGGATGAAAAAGGGCAAACAAGATTGATCACGCTCAATTGCATTTAAAACAGAATTTCTTAATCTTAAGGACTCCAATAGATCGACGAGATTCAAAAAGATTGGACGGAAACAGGATGATGAAAAGTGATTATAGAGTCGGTCAGCCAGGCTCACGTAAAAAGCATGCTGGTGCAGCGCCGCCCTTCCACCGGCACCACGCCTCGTAACAAAACCTAACCCGAAAAACATACCTGCTCCGCACCCAACCACCCTGAACCCCAAAAGTAACCACGCCCGTCGCAGGGTGTTCCGCTCTACATTCCTGCAGCATACAATTCCCGAAACCGAGATTCATAAACTGCTGGCTCACGTAAAAAGCATGCTGGTGCAACGCCCGTCGCCGGCACCACGCCTCGTACTTCTCTTGCGGCCAGTACTTCTTCCGCAGCGCCCGCTTGTCGCCCTCGTTCATCACCTCGCGCTCCAACGTCAGGAACTCGTAAAAGTGGTCTAGTCCACCTTGCAAGTGGCGGGCCAACCGGATGCCGAACGCGATGCCGAGCACCGCGAGGCCCAGGAGCGTGGCGTTGAGGAGGAAGGTGACGTCGGGAGAGCGCATCGGGTTCTTGTTGACGTGGATGACTTGGACCTGAGTGTAAAAACCGCATGGATTTGAATTCTCGACTAATTCTGGATGTTGGGAATGGAAGGACGAGGCGCATGGCGTTGAATAGGAAGGTCGAGGGAGCATGGGGTTCCCATGAGTGACTACACCGGGAGAGACTCCTCGGGATTCAGAATCTTAAGGATTCCAATTTAGACTTCTTTTAATGCCAGGTGCGCTGCGATGTCAAGGCCACGAAGTGTGGCCTGAACTAGGAAGGTGACATTAGGCGAGCGAATGGAATGATTTGGATGACTTGGAGCCTAGGGGGAAGCTTTCTGTCTCGCACGTCTACGTGCTCGAAGGGTTGTAGGACGGTGAGCTGTGAAGGGGAGCTTTCGGAGGCGAAGATAATGCAGGAAGGGTTGGAGTTCGCTTGACCAAGGGGCAGACTGGAGAGCGGACTGGCAGCGTTTGGAATCAAGCAGAGATTGGAAGGTAATCTGTCCGAAAAGCGAGCAGAAGGATTGGCTGAGCTGTACTCATGTGTCGCTAGAAGGGACTCATAGGGCGGTCACATATGAACATTTTCGGGGTGCACCGTCCCTCAGGGACCGAAAACCGGTGATTTCGTCCCCCAGAATTTCGACTCGATATTCTGGGGGACGGTACGCCCCTCAGGGACGCCGGTAAAAATTGTTAGGGAGGGTCGGCGGTCACTCCTCGGACAGTCTGCCGTGCCGTAGAATACGGGAAGCTTTAGCTTTTCGCACAATGTGTCCCTGAGGGAAATATGACCAGAACAGATTCTCGGGGAGCATGCGCTCCCTCAGGGAACACTCGCCACTTCCCCGAGAACTCATATGTGACCGCCCTATCAAACACCAAGAACTGCAACATCTCCTGTATGTCGAAATTACTCAAGGTACGAAAGAAGTTCTGGAGAGCTTTAACGACCTGAAGCTTTGAATGGACACCTTCTTCTCTTGATCCGCGAAAAGACGCAGGTATGAAGCAGTAAATATGTACTTGTTCGTAGTGAAAGTGGTCCCGTCTAAATGCAGCGTCTTTGGTCAATTACCTGAGAGTGAAGGGCCTTCCAGAGATGGTGCCACTGCTGATTAGGCATGGCTTTCACCTTGTGCCGCTCATAAGATACCTCGTAGGGCGTGTCTTGCATGTACCCGTGGACCGCCCGCAAATGGGGTACGATCACTGCAAAGAAGACATCAATCAGAGCCTGGAAAATCACACAAGCGAGCTGATTTGAAAAGCCTCGTTTTGAACCATGTCACGGCAGAAAGCAACCCGCTGTAGTCATCCGCTTGCTTGTTGGTAACCCAGATTGATATCTGCAGAGAGGGGGTTTTGACAAAGATCTTTCAAATACGAGCGGACATTCATCAAAAGCAAAAGAACAATTGAAATGGAGCCTGAGGGTGGCTTACCCGCAATCCGCTCCCCCAAATCATCGTACTCCATGTACTGTACCTTTCGCTGGGCCACCAGGTCCCGGAATTCCGAATATGAGATGTCCTCCCCCTGCAGTCGAAACGAACAATAAGTCAAATTTGACGAAAGTGTTGACATTGCAAGCTTCAGAAATGAGCGTTCTTGGCTTGAAACGTTTCTGTTGACGACTCATTACGAAAGAAATCCACGCTGGTTTATGTAGCGCCCCTTTTTGGAGGTAGAAACGAATCAGACAAGATGCGCAGCCAACCGAGAATGGGACCAGATATCGAATCTAATGTGTACCCTGCTTTCTACCATTTTGATATTGTTTCTCCCTCAAGCTCTACGCTCTCGTGGTCGAAGTACAGCCGGCCTGAGTGCTTCCCAACTGCGAACTGAGGATCTTTGTTGTCTCAACTTAGAATTGCTTCCTGTCGAGCGCACATTCCGACCGAATATCCCTTCCTGCTTTCAAATTATTGGGACTCTCACCTTTTTCGGGTTGTACTGCGTATTGTAGTAGATCCGCAGCCAGCCGAGGTGCCGCCCGATCGCAAACCGCACGTTCTCCATGATCTCGTCCCACCGCTGCCGGTTCTGCTGCCACAGGCGCTGCGACCGCTGCCGCTCTTGAAGCCCCTTCACGTGCTCCGCCGCCGTTTTCAAGACCCACTGCTCACTCTCCGACAACGGCCGCTCCTCTGCAACACCAAACGGAATCATAAATTGGCCACTGATTTGAGCTATGGCGCGCAAAAGCACAATTTGTCAGAATTATCATCTTGTGGCGACACGTGCTCTGCCGCTGTTGCCAGGACACACTGTTTACTCTCCGACAGCGGCCGCTCCTCTGTACAGCCAAACGAAATCATGAGCAAAACGTTGAATATGGCGCCCTCACAGCAAAACTTGTCAAGATTGATCAGGTGGTGGCGAGAAAAGTATCGTGGCTGGGTTGTGGTTGTTTCACATGCTCTACCACCATCGCAGGAACTCACAACGAAGTTCCAACAAAGCCCGCTTATCCTCAAGTGGATTCATTCAGACAAGTTGTGCGGGGCACAGGGGAGCCTGTCAGGACAACGACTGAGTCGCAGGGGCGTCTTGTGGCGGGATTGTCTAGCTTGTACCCGCTCTGCAGCAGTCACCAAAATCTTCTGCTCACCCTCTAGCAAAAGCTGCTCTACTTGCAATTGGCACAAGAACGACCCTTGCTGCTGCTGGTGAATACCCAAAAGATAGGACAGAAGCTGGCAAAAGGTACCATAGGTTCTGAATACCCAGACGCCTCTCCCTAATGGAAAACTCTCCTGAGATCTACAAATGCACGACCTAATAATACAAGACAACCGCAAAGACGAGTGCAGAAGCAATTCCAACAATGCCCGGGCGCACCACGGAGCTGCAAACACACCTGCCGTCTCTTCCCGCCGAGCCAGTTCCTTCCCCTCCCCCTCCGGCTGCTTTATCCTGACTCTCCGCAGGATGTTTCTTGGCCCCATATCCTCCTCCTCCCCCTCCTTTCGCTCCACCAATGATAGCTCGTCGTCCCCGAGCAACTCCCTCGTTACTTCCGCCGCAACCAAGTCGTCCTGATCTGCCTTTAGCGGCCCCAGTTCCACCCTTTCGCTGATATCATACTCGTCCACATATTCCAACTCTCCGCCCCCCTCGCTAGCTACCATCTCTCCACCCTGCCGGGATCCTTCCGCATGGGGGCCTGGTTTTCCTGCCGAGCCTCCCCCCCCATTTCTTGTTTCTGCTTCTGATCTCCTTGAATCCAGGTCAGGCACCCCAACTGCCGCCATCGGAGAGCCCCTGAATGAGAACGGGGCCAACCTAAACCCCCTCCCCGCACGCCCCCTGCTGACATCATCAGCCGTCCTGCCGGAAGTTGACGCTTGCTGCTCTTGCTGAGGTGATGCGTCTTCTCTACTGACATCGCTGCTGATGTCATGCCATGTTTCGGAGGGCGGCCCAAAGTCTAGATAAAATGGAGGGCTTGCATCGGAGGCTGACGATGCGCGGAGCAATATTTTGGGCGAAGGTCTCCGGTGTGCAGACCCCCTCAAGGTGAAGAGGGGCCGGCCTGAGATACTGGAACCAAACGGACTCAGGGGCGCATTCACGCGTCCATTTTGGAGACCTGCGGATTGCACAGAAGTCAGATCAGAACGGCAGTGGCTTGCAAGCTTGACTGTGCAAGCTGTACATGCTAAAATGGACAACTCAAAAGAGACCGGGTTTCAATCATCAACAGGCAGTGTAGCAACTTCAGGAAGACACACCAGCTGCATAACCCCTCTTATAGAAATCAAGTGCAGCTGGACAACACTTGCTGCATAAACGCGGTGGAATTGTGCTGCCTTCATTCCCAAAGCGAGGCGGCTTCCTGCTAGCATACAGGAGTCGCTATCAGGTGGCGCCAAAGGTGACAAATGTTGCGTATCATCTGACTGGAGGGCAGTGTGAGGACAGGCCAAAGAATGGACCGCAGCATCCACAAGCTTGAGCAGATGTCAAACTCCTGGTAGAAAATAAGCAGTTCTGCTGGTTCAGTGGCGCTGTGGTAATGGCTGGAGCGCGCAGCACTGCATTCAGCAGTCCCTGCGCTCTTCCAACTCTGCGATCCTCTATAAACACATGCGGAGCGATTTGACCATTATCAAACCTTGGTATTTCGTACTCAAACTCACTACCCGCGATGTTCAGGCATCAGCACAAGATGGGAATACCGCAATGACATTGCTTCCATACGACAGGCCTTTTTTACCTTCAGTTGTCCGCCAGTCGGTTTACCGTTTCGAATTCAGACCACTTTCAATTCTCAATTGTAGTCCAGCACAACGTGCAGAAAACAGGGCAATGCTCGGAAAAGAAATGAGGGAAAGAATGCAGCATTTCTTGAGAAGGTCCTCACCGATAGGTTTACCCTTCTCAAGCAAGAATTGACACTTCCGCAGCCCCGCTGGGTGGAAAACACCTTCTTCCCTTGCTGTTGCAGCTCCAGGCAAGCAGCGGCCAACATTTGGAGGGGGCGCCAACCCCTGAAGTGCTACAGAAGCACAACCACTCAGTGCCATGTTAATCTGCTGAAAATTACAAGGTACCTACTGGAAGCTGTTCCCCTCAAACTGACATTATTTCCGTTGTAGGCAACCCACATGAAGCCACCACACAACCATCAGGGCTGCAAACGCCCCTGCAAGCTGCGCTGCCAACTGTAGTTAACGCAATGCTGCTCTTCGTTGCCTACATCTCAGGCTTTGCTCCGAGCAAGCTCCAGCTTTCAGCCAACCACCCTGCTTTTCTGAAGCTGGTTCCTCTTGGATATCACTGAAGCTGTCATGTGCTTCATATGAAAGGCGCCGCCATTGATTGAAGGACCAAGCAGCCTAACAAGACAGCCAGCAACCTTGAATGCTACAGCCCTACGTACAGTTCCAGCCGGCCGCGCATTGGCTTCAAGGCGGCCGCGCGCAAAGACGTGCGGGCGGGCGCGGCCAGGCGTGGCGGCCGCGGCCGGATAGGACGCGCGCCAGGGCGGCCGCCCGCGGTACCAAACCCTAGCGCGGCCGCGTCTTTGTCATCGGTTTAGGCATTTTAGGGTTTTAGGGTTGAACAAATTCGCTGATGTCGTCAATCATTTGCTCACGTCAAGGTATGCCTGGCCTATCACGTGTCTCGCACAAATCCAATCAGATCCGACTTCGAGTAGGGGGGCTATATTCGTCGGGCCGATCTAGGCCCCCGGAGTAGGATGTGGTCATGCCGGGAAACTTGAAAGGCCGCATTGCAATCTGCGCGTTGCATTCTCAGTCTGGCGGAATGAAGCCTTGAAGGACGATCAAAAGGGGCTGATCAACACCCATGCACAATATTGCAGGGGTACTGCACAGGGGCAATCTACAATCGTAGGCGCCTAGGTAGACGGCTAGCTGAAGAGCCGACTTGCAAGCATCCATTCGATGTTGCATGCGGCACTGCAGCTTTGGGCTGTGCCCGTTTTTGTCTCAGGAAGTTGATCCATGCATGCGGGAAGGGAGTTACATGTAGCGTTAGGGCGCTAGAGTAGGTTGCTCTTATTGAAGGTGCAAGCTTTTGAGCTCTGGTTTCCACAGCACGTTGTGATCTCCACTTAAGCTGTGCGATACGATTGCCTGTCGCCAGGCGCCATAATCCAGCTCGCAGCATTGCCCTTTCTGGAGATTTGAGAGGCACTGTAACCAGAGGCAATCCGCGCACCCCAACCGGGCTGGCGGGCGGCGTTTCTACAAATGGGGGGGCACGATCAGACTGCGAAGGACGGCCCCCCAAAGGCCGCCAATGGGGCGCCGCCCAAGGAGTCTCACTGGCAGCTGGACGTGCCTCTGCACCACCGGTTGCCAAACTACGTGCAGTCGGTTAACCTCAAACACGTTTACCAGGGCTACTCGCTCCTGATTAACCACGCGCTAACTCTGCTGATCCTGCCGTGGTTAGTGATCACCGTCCTCGCGGAACTGAGCCGCATGTCCCTGGCGGACCTGCATGCGCTCTGGGAGCAGCTGCGGTTTAACCTCGTTGAGGTTGTCTTAACCTCGGCGGTGCTGGTTTTCGCGGGGACGATCTACATGATGTCACGAGCCCGGGCGGTGTACCTGGTGGACTTTGCGTGCTACAAACCCGACGACAAGTTAAAGCTAACCCGGTCCTTCTTCGTGGAGACCACGCAGCGGCTCGGCCTCTGCGACGAGAAGGGGGCGACGTTCCAGGAGAAGCTGGTTTACAAAACGGGGTTAGGAGACGAGACCTACGTCCCCGAAAACCTGTGGTTGGAACAGCCGAAGACGGGCATGGCCGAGGCGCGGAAAGAGGGGGAAGACGTGATGTACGGGTGCCTCGACGAGCTGTTCCGCAAGACCGGGGTTAACCCAAAGGACGTCGGGGTTCTGATAACCACGTGCTCGCTGTTCAACCCGACGCCGTCGCTCTCGGCGATGATCGTGAACCACTACAAGATGCGGGGGAATGTGAAGACGTACAGTTTGGGGGGCATGGGCTGCAGTGCGGGCGTGATCGGCGTGGATCTCGCGAAGGACCTGCTTCAGGTGCACGCTAACACCATCGCGGTGGTGGTCAGCATGGAGAACATCACACAGAACTGGTACTTTGGCAACGTCAGGTGAGCCGGTGTCAAAGTCTCCGGTTTAGCAGAGGGAGACGGATCCGTTTTCCTGAGGAATTGAATTTGCTGGCCTGAAAAGAGTCTCTTGTGTTTATATGAGGGTAGTCTAGCAACGACGAGGGTAGCTCGTAGCATCATTTCTGGCGTTCACCAGAGGGTGGTAGGGTGTGTTTGCTGGGAGTTGGCCTGAGAAGAGTTCCTGATGTTACTTGAAGAAAGCCCTTTGGCAACGACAGGTAAGCCGGTGTCAACGTTGAAAAAAGCTTGTGAAGATAGAATTGTGGTTGCCGGAGGTTTGGGTTGCCCTGAGACGGTTGCCTGGTTTTCATCAGAGAAAGTACTGTTGACAAGCAAGGCAGAGAATGTTACACGGTCCCATTGAGAAACATGTGCTTCTTGAACTTTCATTTCCTAGGACTGACTCAATTTGAGCCAGTCTCTCTTCTGACGGTATCAAGAACTTGTCCAAGGTCATAGGCCTTCATCCTCCAAATCAATCTGTGATCCGATTTCGCAGTTCCATGATGAGCCCCAACTGCCTGGTCCGCATGGGCGGGGCCGCGGTTCTCCTCTCACACTTACAAACGAGGCTTTGTATTCTCCTCCGACCTGATTGGAGCAGATGAAACGTAGAAACCGCATGCTGAACAGATTATGTTTCCTCTTTCGCAGGTCCATGATGATCGCCAACTGCCTGTTTTGCAGGGTGGCCCTGGGGTCCTCCTCTCGAACCCAGAAAGCACGCTTCTTTTTCCCTTCGACCACAATGAAGCAGACAAAATTCAAGGATTTCTTACATTGTAAAGTGAGATTGAAGGATCGTCAGAATCCATTTCGCAGGTCCATGATGATTCCCAACTGCCTGTTCCGCATGGGCGGGGCTGCGGTCCTCCTCTCGAACCGCGGCCGCGACGGGTGGCGCGCCAAGTACTCGCTGCAGCACACGGTGCGCACCAACAAGGCGGGCGACGACCGCTGCTACGGCTGCGTGTTTCAGCGGGAGGACGAGCAGGGGACGCCGGGGGTGTCGCTCTCCAAGGAAGTCATGGCCATTGCAGGTGGGTTGAGAAGTTTGATTTCAAGTTTGATGACTTTCGTGAGCTTCATTTTTGACGACTGTTGTCCATTTCGACTTCAGAGACAGCAAACGATGACGTCGCGATAGATGAAATGACGACGCTCAGGGGACGCCCGGGGTGTCGCTCTCCAAGGAAGTCATGGCCATCGCAGGTGAGCGCATTTCTGGTTATAGTTGACTGTTTTCGCTTGACCTCTGTTGAGGGCGTGGAAAATGGTGGTTGGTCGTTGAGAGCTGCCATGGTTGCAATAACCGAGAAGAGAGGACGAGCAGGGGACGCCGGGGGTGTTGCTCTCCAAAGAAGTTATGGCCATTGCAGGTGAGCGATCGATCAAGCTTGATACAATTGTTGTTTTGTGGGGAGTCTTCTTATCGAGGCTCTAAGAAAAGGCGCCACGGATGGGGTTGTCAAAAGGGAAACCGAGCAGGGCAACGGTCTGGGGGTGTCGCTCTCCGAAAAGAAGTTCAGGGCCGTCGCAGGTGA